GTTAATCACTTTGGTCATTCCATGAAAAATATATGTTAGATATGGAGTAAAATGACAAAAATACTCTCAATTTATGTCAAATCATTTTGGCATGTTGTTTATTAAATTGAGGATATTTTCGTCATTTTGATTCTTATTTAGTAGAGATTTTTCACAGAATGACCAAAATGATTGACGGTGGCCAAACTTAGGAACCACTTTTATCGATTTCAAATCTCAAGAACCAAACTAAAGAGTTATGTCAATCTCAAAGATTATTTTGATCAAAATGCCTTCAAAACACTTATACTTTATTCAAAAACCTACGCATGTCAAGGATATGTATTATTTCAGCCTTGACGTATTACGTGTTTAGTAATGCATAAGGAACGAAAACGTAAGTAGTTCTCACAATGAGATTAATTATGTCATACTCAATTTTAACCAAGTATCAATAAAAGGAGATTGTTTATCCCATATGTGAACAACTAAGTATCATTCTCATACCTAAAAAAGTTAAGTAAACATGCCCCTATGTACTTGATATGCTTGGTTATGATTAATCGTGTCGAATAACTATGACATCAATCCTACATTTTTACTAATGCCATGTTATACTTAATAATCTTATAGGATATGTTAAACTCGATAATGTATTTATGCAAAATGGTAATTGTTGTGTACCACAAGTTGGGATTTCTTGCAGAATAAGTTGCAGCAACTTAACTCAAGTGTGATGGGCGAGTTTGTAGTCTCTCCTTAGAGTCCGTGGTGAAGTTAGCGTCCAATATTCCAGGGGACCATTAGGCCATCTCCAACGAAAGGGGGTCAAAGGGTCATGTTTAGCCCTATAGCCTTACAAGAAATTATTTTTTAATAAACAATGTCAGATCATATTTTATACCATCTCTAACCGAGGGTGTCAAAGGGCCATAGGCCAAAACATAGCCCGTTTACAAAAATCTCATCTCCAACCGAAGAGGGCTATCTTTTAGTCCCTTCAATAATTTATTATTTTAATTGAATTAATATGGTTAATTAAATTAAACTACCATATTAAAATAAGATTTTCGGACATATTTTGAGTGTCACTTGTCGCTAAATGAATAAGCCTCTGGATTTTTTTATCTTTATATAATGAAAAATGATGTGAACAATTGAAATAAAATAAGGTAAGATAGTATGGAATGGTGAAAAGGATGTGAGAAATGGTGTAGAAATGACTTAGGTATTTATAGGGGGAAAATTATGAATTTTTTTTTTAAATTTTGTCTATAAAAATAAAAATTAAATAAATCCAACAGTAACCTGACGTCAGGTAACATGTGTTTGGGTTGGGGGAATCAAGCTGGTTGGCTGATTGATTATGGCCAGCCCGCTGTCTTTGTGGATGGGGTATACACACCCCGAACCGAAATGTCCACCTGGACTCCAAATCGAGTTGTGTTGGCCGATATCTGGAATGTGACAAAGTCATAGTGTGTAGTGATGTGGAAAATGTGCGTAAATTTAAACCTAAAATTGCCTAAATGTAAGAGTGCTCTGGTGAGCAGGAATGAACTCATTTCACACGTGATGTCAGATCATAAGTAAAGTATAGTAAGATAGGATAAGGATTATACCCTCAAAGGTAGCCACCTATATCAAGATTTGCCAAGAATCCTCGTCGACACGAAAGCACAACTACTAAACCTAGAGGGGTGAAAAATAAGGGTGAGTGGGCCTAAAAATAAAGTTTTGTAAAAACCTTTTCGAAAACATAATAACCCATCGCCGTAAAATAAGTATAGTTTCCAAAATATACATACTACGTATAGTAAGAAAATACTTATCATAGTCTGCAATATCACAAGAATTCAATATGGCTTAATATATCGCAACTAAGATGACGACGCCCACCAGAGAAGGAGTTCGATGATGGTGAAACGATTCCAGAGAGGATGGACGGGAGAAAGGTGGTGACTTGGTGTTCATGTAGGGAACGTCAGAAAGATGGGCGGTGGCGATTGTGGTGCTTCGAGACTAGGGAAAGAGTTTGAGGGAGGGAGTGGATGGTGAGGGTGTATGGCCTTCGGCCTTTCTGCGTATGCAGAGAATAGAGAAAGAGTTTAAGAGGGATGGAGATGAGAGAGAATAAGAGTGAAAATGGATAGTGAATGAGAGATTTCGAGAGAGTGAGAGACACGGGGACAAAAGGGATAAGTGACCCAGGTGGGTGGGTCCCAAGCACACATATATCCCATACAAAAATAATAAAATACTAAGGTTGAATATCTAGAATAGCAAATTTACCAAAATGCCCTTCTACTTTGTATTTATGTAAAATCTTCATCGTAGTTCCAATTTCGATTCTACTTGCACTCACGCGTTCGTAGCGATAAGTTCTACAAGGGTACGCTAAAAGAATGTTTCGTACGTCTCGTTATACGCTGGTCAACAAAAGTCAACAATCTTGCATCTAAGGGCATTTTCGTCAATTCACACTTGTAAAATTAAATAAAATCGTAAAATTAGGGACATGTTGTCACAGTATAGCCGGGTGGGACCCACAAGCCCTTTGGCCTAGCCCTCAATTGGAGATGGTTTTCATTTCAAAACCGGCTATTTTTTGGCTTATGGCCCTTTGGGCTGGTCAGTTGGAGATGACCTTACACTTTTCTAAGCTATCATACATAAATTATTGTAAAGTTTAACTAAACCTAGATTTTATGCAAAAATATTTGTATTGGCTATTTGTGATCGTAGTTAGGTGAAGACATTATTTTTTACATGTTAGATGTGTTTGTACCATACTTGACCAATCCCAAAACTACTGAGCACCGGTCAACGTTATACCGTCAAGGACCCAGAAGAGTTTCCCTCCAACCAAGAGGCCAATCACAGCACGACACATGTCGACATTAGAAGCCAATCATAGCGCGACACGTGTCAACATCAGAAGCCAATCACAACACGACACGTGTCAATGTCAGAATGAAACTAGAAACTCTCTTCTATAAATAGAGATCATTCTCTCACAATATTTCCTAATGTCATTTGTACTAAATCATTCACTAGTACTCACTAAAGGAGAGCTTGAACCTATATATTTGTGTAAACCCTTCACAATTAATGAGAACTCCTCTACTCCGTGGACGTGGCCAGTCTGGGTGAACCACGTACATCTTGTGTTTGCTTCCCTGTCCTTATCCATTTACATACTTATCCACACTAGTGACCGGAGCAATCTAGCGAAGGTCACAAACTTAACACTTTCTGTTGTACCAAAGTCCCCACTGATTTTGTGCATCAACAAGATGTATCTCATCCTAGTTCTCCCAAGTTGTATCGACCCTTTGTGACTAGATTATGAAGGCAACTTTGTATTGATTAAAAACAAGTTAGGACTTTTAGCAACGGGTGGCACTATTCATACATCTCGTTTTACCTCACACACATTCTTTTGATTTATGTTATTTAATTTTGTTCAATTTATTCGATCTAATTGTCAAAAATTGAAAGGTGTGTGTAGAAGATAAAAATTAATGTATGAATTAGTAAATTATGATATGATAATCAGATTCTAACTTCTAATAAGGTTTGCGCAAAGCATCGATGATGCATTTCTTTAGAGAAAAGAAAAGGCCCATTGCGTGCGAATTTTGCCCTTATATTCAGGAATCTGTATATAACTTCTCCACAAAAAGTAGTGGTCTTGAATTTATCATACAGAACTTGAAATCCAATGGGACATTACCAAAACAAATAGCTAAATTCACATCGTTGATGTTATCGGCACTTGAAAAATGTTATTCTGCACTGAATTTTATAGAATTTTTTCTTTGTATTTTTATATATCTATAAAATGACAATTTTAAAGTGTCAATAACAGCTCGCAATTATGAAAGAAAATCTCAAAAACTAAAATACAAAACAAATTGGCTAAAAAAATAAAAGAGAATTAAAGTGTTAAAGCTAGCTTGATTTGAGTTTAAATAGTTCAGTAGGAATCCACTTTTTTCTTTAACATGTGTTGTATAAAACTCATGTTCCTGTTGGATCAGAGTGTTCAATTTCTTGCCATCAATTGTTACAACAAACACAGAAGAAAAATGGTGGATTGGGCACCAATTTTGATTGGGTTGTTAATGTTCATACTGCTCTCCCCTGGCCTCTTGTTTCAGATACCAGGAAATGTCAAGCATGTTGAGTTTGGAAGCTTCACCACAAATGGCAGAGCAATTATTGTCCACACTCTTATTTTCTTTGGCATCTTCACCATCCTCATTTTGGCAGTGGGAATCCACATCCACACCGGCTGATCCATGTGCTAGTCGAACTCAGGAGACGTTGAGTTTTATCGCAAAATCAACAAGTTGTAAAGAGATTGATATTTCATATTAAATTTCCCTTGATTTGTAATTTCTTGTTCATGACTTAATTGGAGTTGAACTGTTCAGTCTTTGTTTCCCTTCTTTTACTATACATTTTAGGATATTGCTTGCAACTAACATATCTTCATCATAAAAGTTCTATAATCGGAATTGTTAAATATTTTAATATTTATTTGAAGATCATCTTTACAAAAAATCATTCAAATAAGATATCATTTAGTCATTCGAATGTATCAAACAAATCAATGGTTCTTCATGAATATGCTATTTGTTACCTACACCGGTAATTTATTTTGATATATTTGAATGACAAATGGTCTACGATTCAAATAATTTTTTATATGAATGATCTTCAAATAGAAATCAAGAGATTGAGCGATTTCGATTATAAAGTGTAGAAATGAGCTCATTCCGAATACTTTAGTTTAAGAGAAGGGTGAAATAGATGAGTGTTGTGAAATTAATTAAGGGTAATGTTAGGGAGAACACCTACTTAGGACAAACTTTGTAAACCATATGACATGATTATTGATATGATTAGATTATTACTTAAGTATTGATTAAAGTGCTTATTTTCTATTAGGTAAACATTATATATTTTACAAATTTGGTTTAAAAAATTAGTTTACCTAGCCTTACCCATTAAGAGTTCATTCGGGAACATCCGATAAAATTGAAACAATACAGAGAAGATTAGCATGACCCTTGCTCAAAGGAAGCATTACTCATTAAGAAACTTTAACATTTGAGCAATTCAGATCATTTGTTTCAAATTGCATAACCCGTCAAAGCTTGATAGGTAAGAAAATGAGGAAGAAAACAAAGTTAAAATATATACACATATATATAAATTATTTTTGGTATACAACCATATATTTCGATCGAGAAATTGAAAAAGGACCCAGATTCTCTCTCCTTCGTTCATGTAGTCATTCAAAACATTTACAAGTTGATTCAAAATGCAAGATTATGCCACTTAAGAAATCCAAACTGAGCCACCGGAAAAAAGATAGAATTGATAAAACGTGCCATCACCCACCATGCTGCTGAGGCCCAATACCACCACTACAACCACAATCCTCACTACCGTTGCCATCGCTTCTTCCACCATTGTAACCTCTGCACCTTAACCATTACGCCTCACTATTTGCATCACCACTATAAGTCTATACCCTTATATTGTTGCCGTCATTACCATCACCACCGATAGCCCCACCGCAAATGCCATTGCTATTGCCACCACCATTGCAACCAGCGTTGTCGCCACTACCTACGATTGCAACCACCAGCCTTACACCATTGCCTCCGTTACCACCGCCGTAGTTTTCGCCTTTGCTGCCAACACTGCTACCTCTATACTTCAACAACTACCACACCCTATTATTGGCACTACCATCACACCCCCACCATTGTTGTTGCCATCACCACCACTGTCATTGTCACCACCCCACTACTATGTTCATTTTTGTTATTATATACGATCATATCACCTTTACAGCAAAATTTACCAAATGCTTTTACATTGCTTTTCATATTCATAACACTTTAAAAAAATACAGTTTATCAAAAACTAAATTGCCATTTTTACATCTGATTATTCTTAAAACACATCAAAAGCAATTTAAAAAAAAACACAGAAATCTCAACCTTTAAAGGCAGGCCTAAAAACCCAATTCCAAAAGCAAAAATAACAAAAAAGTAATAATTTTTTTTTCTAACAAAGAAAAAGGGTGAATCGAACTGAGAACCACAAGAGCATAGGTAAAAATGAAAGATTTTAAACTGGTGATTCTTTTAATTTTAATTAACATGTTTTGGATTGGGCAATTCTGTTTAAAAAAAAAAAAAAATTTCTCATGTTTTTTGCTCATGAAGTTTACAATTTAGATAAAAACCACTTTCCATGATCTAAACCTCATAAATTTGGCAGTGCCAACTCCTAAAACTGGTTGACACTCTCTGTAAATTTCTTATGTCCAAAAATGTGTAAACCAATATATGCAGTGAGACATCAAATTCTTAAAAAAAGCAGTTTCCTTTTAAAATTTAAAAATAAAAATATTTAGTCCAAAAGAGCTTAAATTCAAATGGAAAATTTTTATTTAAACTCATGTAACATCTTTCTACACCCAACTTAAATTTTAAATGTTAATTGTCTGTTTTATCATCTTGCATAATTACCATCAAGTACAAGATGAAATTAACAATAAAACTACAATTTATCAATAAACCCACATATTTCATTCCGACTAAAACTCTAATAGCTCTTATAGAGAAAAACAAGTTTTTTTTATTGATGGCTAAAACCCTTCCAGCAAGGATGGAGGAGCTGGATGAACCAACACCTCACTCTCAAACCATTCGAATTAAATAAACAACATATAAAGTACAAGCAAAAGCCTTGAAGATGTACCTAAGTTACAGGCCACATCTTTTACGTCAATGACTCAACAACCTTCTATAATCATGGTTAGGTGTTGTGCTCTGTACTCAAATCTTCAAGGAGTCCCCTCAAAATAAAAAGGACTTGCATGAAAACTAGGAGAGAATTTATAGTCAACACGAATCGAAGTTTAGCACTATGTCCAACATTGCCGGCCATGAACGTTCTATAGCTTCGTGAATTTTTTCCTTCTTTTTCTTGCCTCAGCTACTGCAATTGCATCCGCGAGTAGGTACATAGGACCCATAAATATTTTCAACTTTCGAATTTCTTTGAAAACAAAACTACTTAGTTTGAAATTTTGTTTTATAAATGAGTGTAAAGAGAAATTAACATTTTGAATTGGGTATGAGAGGGTATTCTAGGTAATAAATTTGGATTTAAAGAGAGATTAATTCTTTAATTAAAAATAATATGAGTGTAGAAAGTAAGTTAGGTGTAGAAAGATGTTACATAGGTTCAAATAAAATTTTCCAATTCAAATCCATCCTCATCCTCCCAAGAAGATCACAGCCGTCAAACTCCAACAGTCAAGATCCTGACACGTCAGAGCATTGGCACGAATGCACTCGTCCATTGTCACGAGAGAAACGCATGGAACCTAGGCACTTGTCCCACAATTTGTGTTCCCAATCTCCAATCTCATAAACTTCCAAAACCCACCCACTTTCCCCTCAGATCTTCCAAACCCATCTGTAACTTTCTCCTCCTTCTCCTCCTTCTCCTCGTTGTTGTTCTGGTTTTGCAGAGAACAAAAATGGCAGACTGGGGTCCGGTGGTGATTGCGGTGGTGCTGTTTGTGCTATTGACACCGGGGCTTTTGTTTCAGATACCCGGACGTGGGAGGTTGGTGGAGTTCGGGAACATGCAGACCAGCGGCGCTTCCATCGTGGTGCACGCCATCATCTACTTTGGCCTCCTCACCATCTTCCTTATTGCCATTGGAGTTCACATCTATGCTGGTTAAGCTGTTTTATTCTTATTTATGTACTATTTACTTATGTGAGTTGAGTGATTAGATTTTTAGAGTGTGTGAACTCGATCAACATTTTAGTTCTCGTTTGAAAATCACTTTTAAAATATCTGAAAGCACTTTTAGAAAAAACTGTTTTTGTGCTTTAAAAGTGCTGTCTGCACCAGTTATTTGCTTTCATCACGAAGCACTTGAAGTCCTTATTTCAAGATTTACTTGCATTTATGCTAAGAATTTGGTTCAAAAATTATTTTTATTAAAAACGCTTTCAGTCATTTTAAAAGGACTTCTAAATGAGTTCTTAATCTTATATTGTTTAATTAGTTTGTTTATTATAATCTATGTTAATTTGGTTTAGTCTTGTTTCTTTATCTTTGAATCTGATCATGAAGCTTTGTACTTTTCTTACGCATTTTAGACCAACTGGCTCCTAGTTTAGCGGTATTTTTATTTTAAAACATTTGAATGAGGGTTTACCCAAAAGAAGCGTTTAGAAAGGGGCTTCGAGTTTGAATGTCGATCAAAATAATAGTAAGCATTGTTGGGGTTTAATTGGTTGGACACTTGGGTGCGTTTGTTGCACTATACTATCTTGGATTAAACTAATTTTGAGGGCTAAGCTGGACTGATTTAGATTAAACTAAGCTGAATTAATTTAGTGAAACGTTTGGTGCAGTGTTGGGCTAAGAAGTAGGATAAAAAATTTTCAACATGCAATTCACAAATCTAACACCAAATTAGCACAAACGACTTAAATTGGGTCCAAACAAGGACTCTTTCTTCTTCTTCGCTGGAAATTACAAGCAGGACTCTTTCTTCTTCTTCTTCGTTGGAAATTACAAGCAGCAACAGCCAATTGCAATTTTCTTCCCACAATCCCAAACAAATTTCCTACATAATCTGCTTCTTCTATTGTGAGAAAATCACAATTTTCTCCCTAATCTAATCCCCAAATTCGAGTTAACTCTTGATGCTTGACCAGAAAATTCTAAAACTTGACATGAAATGCAGATCCAAATTTTCTATTTTCCTAATGAAAATTTGGGATAAATTGCAAATTAGATTTAAGAAATTTAAAATTGGAGACAGAGATGGATGAACCCAACTGTCAAAAATCAAGGTCAAGGTTGATGCCGTTGAAAATTAGAGACAGAGATGGATGAACCCAGACGTCAAAAACGAGATCGAGATTGATGCGGTCAAAAATTGGAGACAGAGATGGATGAACCCAGTCGTCGAAAATTTTCTATTTTCCAAGCTCCAGCTTTCATTGAAGCCCATGCCGTCGAAAATCGAGGTCGATGAACCCAAGGCAGCGAAGCAGACAAAGGTGATAAAGGATGCAATGAGAGTGGACAAAGGCAAGAGAGGACAATGGAAGGTCTTAGCTAGTCCCGTGGGTTTCGGGGTCTCTCGCTAAGACCGACTAGTGAAGCCGTTTGTGAAAGCGAGTCCCACCTAGTGCCATTAATGTTAGTCTCGCAAGCCACCAAACACAAGATTACATTAATACTTAATCCAATCCAATCCAGTGAAGGCTAAGAAGGGCAAACAAACGCCCCTTGGGGGTTAAAACAATATCTCAAGGGCAAATTGCGGTTTTACCTCTGAACTATCGTGTATTGGCAGGTAAATTGACAATCGCGTGACGGATCGGGTGTAAAATAGCAGTTGGGTTAACCCAATGTACATGTTGTCTAGCGCACAAAATAAACAAGAAAAAAGCTTATGTATATTCTCTGAATCTTGGCCATGATTTTGAGCTTTTTGCGGGCCGGAAATTCATGGTGTACAAGAATTTGGGTCACTTGCACTTCAGTTGTTCCAGACGGCGTTGGTCCTTTTTGGGCCCTTGCAAGCAAGAATTGGTGTGAAATTGCAAGACTTGAAGATTGAAAATCGAATCAAAATGTTTCGGGACGGGACTGAATACCGAAACCAAACTGAAATTTCGGTTTTCCCGAAACTCTGTAACACCGAAACAATTTGGGTTTTTCGGTTTGGAGTCGGGAAAGGGCCTTTAGGCCCAATTTGTTGGGCTTTCTGATTTGAACTCGTTTTTGGGCTCTAATTTAATCAACCCAATTTTTCTGGGCTTCTGAAGTATGTAATTTTTTATCGGCCAGTTCTTAATTATTCTTACAACCTTAGTTTTGGGCCTTTGTCACATACACAATTCCTTACAAAATCTAGTTTAGGCTAACTACTTAAATTTAATGTTCATTACTATCTCTATACTAGCAAGTAGCAAACTACTTAAATTAAAGGGAACTTTAACGAAAAGCTTACAGTACTGTTTACTTTAACAAAAAACCATATTTTTACCCTAAAAAGTCAATCCTGGTACTATTCACTTTACTATTTATTTTGTCTTTATCGTTAAAACTCAAAGTTTTCAAGCTATTTTCATTAGTTTTTCCTTAAATTAAAACTATATGCAACCAAAACCCAAAAGCAACAAATTAAGTTACAATCCAAAATGGAATATATTAAGTTGCAAACCAAAAATCAACAAATTAAAGTTACAAACCAAAGTTTCAAATGAATTTTAAATTGTTTGTTTGAACTTGAAAGTTCAAGTTCATGAAGAACTTCCCCTTTCAGCCCCTTCCCTTTGTTGATGGTTGACCCATTTCACTTAATGTTCAAGTCATGGATTTAATCTCTGAAGTCCTCTTGGTCAACCACCCTAAAAGACATCTCGGCCTTTATAATTCATTTCACACATGTCATATCAAGTCTGTCTTTTTATTGAAAGTATGAGTGACAATTGAACCGCCCATGTGACAACAATGGTTGGTTTAATTGGGACCGTCGAAGAGACTGCAACCGGGGGCATTTCCTCAAGTGCTTCAAAATTCTCGTTGTTCCATGTTTGGAGGAATCTGTCTGTACTTGCAATTTGCAAAGGTTGCATTCCACCATCACCCTTGTCACCCCACTTTCACAGGCGAATAGTATCTTAGTGGCATTTTGCCACGCCAGACTGGGCCCTTTCTCCTATTACCTTTTTTCCGATTACTTCCCTCGGCCGACCTCTCCATACTTCCCTCTGCAACCCTCCCCAAACTTTCTTCTTCCACTACTTCTTCTAATTGTATATCACCATTCAAATTAGGATCATCGTGAAGATATTCTTCATTTGAGGGAGTTTCTACTTGAGGGGGGTAGGTGCACTAGATTGGCTTATTTATTTTCGTTTACCTAAGACCGTAGGTGTACTAAATTGGCTACTAGTCCTATCCATCCTAACAATGCATAATAATATATCACAACCATCAGTTCAACATATATCAATATAGCACATCTCCATTTCAAAATAGCACACATCCAATTTTCAATTTTCAATCACATCCAATTTTCAATCACAAAATGAATCAATCAAAACCCTAAACTATTAACTCGTAAGAAAGTCACTGACCTTGCTTGCTTGTTCCAAATTTGCCTTCTTGTAAAATTTGTAATTCAAGGGCCCTGATCAAAATTTGAACAACACACAGTCACCGACTATTACAAATTTAGATTCGAATGAATATATTAAACAGGTTTATCAGCTTTGATCATTGGTCGTTGATGATAAGTCCCAGGCAACAAATTCTGATAGTTGAATGATGGGGCTGGGGTTGGGGTAGGGTGAGGGAAGACGAGATGGTAGGGAGAGAGGTGTGTGTGCCCATATTTTATTTGATTTTCAACTTTTAGATTTATTATAAGGGTAAAGAGGAAAGAAAATAATGTCTTTTCACATTATTAGATTTAGTAAGTGGAGTAGGAGAGGAACAAAGGAAAAGGAAGATGGCGAAGGTAACTAGTATTTTTTTTTCGGAAAATATAAAAAATGAAGAGCAAAAAGTTGATCTCTCAAAACGTTAGTAAATCCTTGATTAATGAGTAGGGCTCCATTTACCATTTATTTGTATTATCATTAAAACAATTTATCTAATAGAGGTATGACCCGTCAACACATTTGGATTCCATCTCTTTTTGATGCAGCACAATCCAACACTTTAAACATGTTTCCCCCTTAGCTACACCAATCAACATGCTTGACCTCTAGGGCAACTTGAAAAGATGTTTTTTTTTTTCGATGGTACTTGAAAAGATGTTAACCCACGTTCGATTATTGCTGGAATCATAAAATAATAAAGTTTTTTATTTGATGATTTGTTAGCTGAGGGAAGAGCCATGGAAAGGAAAATGTGGGAGACATGTCGACATTTTTCTCTTAAATCACATGTTATGAGCAGATGAGCAATTCAAATAACAAAGTGGTTGATAAAAGAGATATGGTCACATGAGAATTTTATTGTTTGGATTTCAGTTTAAGTCTATGAGTTGCGAGCTGGAGTTGGAGTCTAAATACGTTTAAGAGTGCAAATCCTCGTAAAACATGTTGATGACATATTGCTATTCACGTACTAGGTCTAACTATCATTGGTACTCTCACGTGTATAGGTGTTATGCTATATATAATTGACCTTGAAGTTGAGTTGACAAATATGAAGAAAAATTTTCAGGAGGTGTGAAACTCATATGACTGGTTTTGTTGTGTTTTTTTTCATAAAAATGGGAAGGATATCTCCTAAAATCCCTTCTCTTTTGTGTGTGTGTTTTAAGTGTAAAAGAGTTAATACTGTCATAAAACTATAAGCACTGTTCTAAAAATAGGTCCAGGTGGCATCTAGACCGTGGACTTAGGTCAAAATGTTCACTAATTGGAGAGGATTTAGGTGGATGCCTAGGCCGTCTAGGCGGTCTAGGCAGTCTAGGCGGTTTGTCTACTACAAGTTGCATTGATGCTACAGGGCGTCTGCTGTGATGCTGCTTCTGATACTACATTTGTGGTAAGTATGGTGCTTTGTGGAGGAGGTGGATTTGGTGGTCAGTGTTTATGAGTATGGTGTTGCGACGGTGGTGGATCTGCTGGCGATGGGTCTGGTGTTGCGGCGGTGGTGCATCTGTTGGCGATATGTATTGTGTTGCGGGGTGATATATCTATGGTGGTGGACTGAGAGGATGAGTGAGATTGGGGTTTCGGGAGAGAGATAATACAAAAGATGAGAAAAAGATAATGAAGAAAAGAGAAGGGAAAGGAAGAAGGTGGGTGCCAACCTCAACTGAAAAAGGAGTTGGGTAGGTTTAGGAAAAGTAATGGTAAAATATTTTAACTTTAAGTTAAAATAGCTAGTAGTGCTAGAAGATGTGAATAGCTAAATTAATGTCTAAGCCATTTGGCTAACTATAATGGCAAAAATTTAGCTATTATTGTTGGAGATACTCTTAATATATTAGATGCTTATGAGCTTAATTTCTAATACAAGTATAATTTTTGGAGTATAAATATGTATTTATTTATATAATACATAATAAATTTATTTATATTTGTTTAGATCCGCTTAAATTTATTTTTTGTCATACATCTTTTAGAACTTTAATTATAAGAGGAGATATCTATGTTCTTTGAGACAAAACTTGATACATCTGCACTGGAAGATTCCCACTTTTCTTTTTTGTAATGTCCTATCGATAAAAAGTTTTAATGTTGTGGTGTCCTAGGTTTATGTCCATGGCCATCATATTGAGGTGGACTACCATTGAGGCACAGCTCCAATCATGACTTAACATGTCTCCATTCATCTCCCCTAAGATAAGCCATAGTTTGACGGTGACGCTTGTCACCACATTTTTCATGTAAACCCAACAAAAGGGAATTGGATCTCATTAGAATCCTCTTTGTGGCTTTTTGTGATAATCCTTATATTTTATTCGTTCTTCGCACATCGTGTAGTTAAAAATTATTTTAAATTATTTTAATTTAAAATTAAATACAAATAGTATCTAATAAAAATTGATTGCAAAAGAATAAAATGTGAAAATCCCGAGAAAGAGGATCCGGAACGAACCTCTTCCCAACAAAAGTTCTTTACCTCTCATTTTATTTGCGTATTTTATTCAAAAGGTAATGTTTGGTTTCATGAACTTTTTGAGTTATAAGTTTTACATGCCAACAACTGATTGATATAATCTCGAATGCAATTTATATATACTAGCCTCCATGCACGAGCTCAGACAAGTGAATAAGGCATTTTTTGAATCACAACGTGCTATACGCGATTTACATGTTTTAAATGTATTTATTAATATAGATGGAAATGAATAATAAATACATTTAATAAAATCGGTCTTTTAATTAATCAAAACAACTAAATCCATATGAATAAAAACAATTTTTAAATTTCCATCTACATTTTATTGAATTTACATTAAAATTAGAAAAATAATATTTAATAAACAACTGATTATTAGCCAATTGTGAGGCTAAAGCCGCTCCATCTCCTTCGTGTAAACAACATTGTTTGTTAAAAAAAATGATCATTTGACAACTAATTGAATCACATTATTATGCGCGTGTGAGAGATTTTTTTTATAACCGGCACTACACACCTCTTAAGTGTTTAAAAATTGAGAAATAATATTTAATAAACAACCGTGTGCAAAATGCATTTTTTGAATCACAGCGCGCTATACGCGATTTATACATTTTAAATGTATTTATATGTGTGAATTGCTTCTATATTTTTTTTATTTCGTTATTTTCTTTTTTTATAAACAACACTATGCTCCTCTTAAGATGTTTTGAACACAAAATTCATAATTTTTTATTATATTTTTCTTCCCCATCACGTGGGCACCATCAACTTTGTCATTTGTTTATTGTTTTCTCTCTTCCCACTTATATTGATATTATATTTTATGATGATCAAATTACCAAATTACCTTTGCATGATTTGATATATTATTTTGGGTTGGTTTTGAATTTTTTGGGCTGAGGGGCATTTTGGTCCAGTTATTTTGTCGAAGCCGGTAACACCAAATCCCACTGTTCACTGCCTCTCGCTTTATATATAGATTAGTGGAGAAATTGTTCTTATGCGTTTAATTAATAATTACTAACTACATTGTTCATCACATTTTCTTTAGAGGGGTTGCATTGTTAAATCACACTAGCTAGTAATTAGCTTACCTGATACGGTAATTATTCAAAATTAGTGATGTTTAGTAAGTAACACTTCATGTGGTCAGCTAATACTTATTAACAATATGGTCTACAAAACTTGTTCAAATGTGATTCATAATCTATTGAGTTAAAGTTGAAAGAGAAATTAAGTTCGAATTTTTCATTTATTTAATAAGAAACATATATACGAGGTTCATTATCGTTCTATCTTTATAAGAGAAATGATGCTTAGATGTAACCCTATCTAGAATAATATAATTTTACATACATAAGCTTGTTAATTGGTTTGAGGGTTCATAAACATGGGCACGTAGCTGGGGAATAGCACAACTCAAGGATCCGATGCCTTTTCGACGGAGATAGTTTCTTATCTAGTCAAGATTTATTTTCAATGACATCACCATCCAATAAATATTTGCTGCTTATTGAAAAAGTGCAATAACTATCTATAAACGATTAATACAAGCTGAATTTGTGATATAAGAAAATGTCTCCTTTTCCACACCATCGTTGAGTTACTGTAGTACTGTAGTTTTAGGACAGACACACACTCCGCAAGCCAAATTATAAGGCCATCCCCAACCGAAGGGCCGAAAATAGCCTAAAAGCCGTCTCTAACCAAGGGACAGGCCAAATGGCTCATGGGTCTCACTGAACAAAAAAGGCCAAAATTTGAATTACAACGGTAACTGTTGACGTTAGCTAGTCGTTATTTTTGAATTTTTTTTTTATTTTTTACAATTTTTTCCCCTATAACTTCTTAAGCCATTAAACAACATTAAATAACATTAAGCAACATGAAATAACATTAAACAATATTAAACAACATTAAATAACATAAAACAACATAGGAAAAAACATTTAACAACATGAAACTTAAACAACATAAAACTTAAACGTTTACTCCATGCTTCTTTTGGCCCAAAGATGTGCAACAAGATCCTATTGTAGGTACTTGTTTGTGGCAAAGGAACGTATCATCCTATAGCGCTTCATGTACTAATTTAAAGAGATACTATCAGTTCTTGGATTGAAAGGCAAATTAGGCCCATCATATATTTTTGCACGAGCCATTTTTGACCTATTTGGATCCTCTTACTCGTCATCAAACTCTCCATTAATATATCCATCTCGCTTATCCTCCACAATCATGTTGTGTAATATGATGCAAGACATCATGATGGAGTCCAAATTTTCTCGACTCCACCCTCTTGCCGGTTCCTTGATGATCTTCCACCGTGCTTGTAGAATACCGAAAGCTCTCTCAACATATTTTAGGTATGCCTATTGGTGTAAGATAAAACACTTTTTGGCGTCATTCGCAAGGTTTGGAATTGCTTGGACAAGTGTCGCCAACTTTGGGTAGATGTCATCTGTCAAGTAATACCCCATATTGTACTAACGGACGTTGATGTAGTAGTCAAGTTGAGGTGATTTACCTTCCGTCAGGTTATTGAAGAGGGGTGAACGCCCAAGAACTGGAATGTCAATTTGGGATCCAGTGACTCCAAAGAAAGCATGCCAGATCCATGTGTCATACGAGGGAACCGCATCTAACACAATAGTTGGCTTTCTTGACCTTCCGCTAAAGCCTCATCGCCATCCGGTGGGACAGTTCTTCCAATTCCAATGCATGCAGTCTAATGACCCTATCATGCCCGAAAAGCTATGGTCTTCAGCTTTGCGAAGGAGCCGATCCAGATCTTCTTGATTTGGCTCACAGAGGTACTCCTCTTTGTAAAGATGAACAACTGTGTCACAAAATTCAGCAAGAGTATCAAGGCATGTAGACTTAGATATACCGTACATATCATCCATCGCATAAGTTGGGGAGGCATGAGCCATCATTCGGAGTGCAATAATAACCTTCTGATGAGGTGACAAATCAGGAGGGCCTGCTCTATCCAGCTTCTGTCGAAAGTATGGATTGACCTACTGGACATCATGAAGTAAACGCTCGAACACATGACGCTTTATTCGGAAACAACGTCTGAAATCCTCTTCTGTGTACACCGAGTTGTCATGTGTCATCGCTCTGTTTCGTGGTTTGTAAAAGCGACCAGCAACAGAGCCGCCTCATTGAGGTTGTTCCTCAGTTGGCTGACACACCATGGACGCAGCCATGGTTGCCACATATTGTGTATTGCGCCATGCTTCATTTTCTTCATCAGACTCCTCATCTTTTTGTCTCATTTGTGCCCATTTTTCTTCCAATTCGGAATTGGATTCGGACCCCCAGTTGGAATTCGAAGAGGATCCAAAGTTGGAATTCATTGCAAACTTGAATTGAACGAGTTTGAATTGAAAAAAAAATTGAATTCAAAGGTGTGTGAATTATAACCCAATATCCACACTATATATAGCCCAAAAATATTCAAATCCAACGGCTAGCCGACGCCAGTTACCGTTGTATTTGAATTAAATTTTTTCGGCCAAATTTTTTAAAAAAAATATTAAAAAATTCTCAGTTTTTTCTATAAATTTAAGTTATTGTAGTTTTTAAATTTAATTTGTAGTTTTTAAATTTAAATAATAAATTACGTTTGGTCATATGATCCTTTGGCCCTCAGTTGGAGAAGGTTTTTTGTAACAAGGCTAAAACAAATCCTATGGCCTTTTGGCCCTCGATTGGAGATTGAGGCAAATATGGTCATGTACTGTTCATTAAAAAATTAATATTTTGGAGGGCCAAAGGGCTAAAACAAGCCCTTGGCTAGCCTTCAGGTGGAGATGACCTAAGAAATATGGCATGCACTGTTCATTAAAATATTAATTTTTTGGAAGACCAGATGCCTAAAACGAGCCTTCTGGCCCTTCTTCGGTTGGAGATGGCCTAATATTAAAGAGGTTTGTGAGGAGAGGACTGAGGAAGTTACGTTTGAGAAAGAGGCCGAAGCTTCACATAACTGAATGATTAGGGTTCGTAACAGCAACAGATTAGGGTTTGTCATTTGTATATATAGTACTAATAATAATGAAAGAGAGTAGGATGATTGCAAAAGGCGAATTTGGTAGTGACGTCGTGTCAAAAATAAAAAAAAAAATTATTAACCAGCACCTTCATCTGCGCTAATCACGAATCAATCTCCTAATTAATTACAAATTAACATGAATATTCTTCTATATATAGTACATGGAACGGTGAGTAAGTTGCAATGGACAAATATAATAAGGTATTAGTAAAAATGGGGAGGGGGAAAGTGGAGCTGAAGAGAATAGATAACCCAACAAGCAGACATGTGACCTTCTCCAAACGAAGAAATGGACTGCTGAAGAAGGCTTTTGAGCTCTCTATCCTCTGCGATGCTGAAGTTGCCGTCATCGTCTTCTCTCACTCTGGCAAGGCCTACGAATTTGCAAGCCACGAGTACGTTTAATTAACAAGTAATTAAACTAGCTAGGTAGGTTTAATGATGATCATATTAATTAATAATTTGTTATGTTAACTTGTGATGCAGCATAAATAGGACCATTGCCATGTATAGACGTGAAGTAGGGTTGCCTGAACCAAACAACTCAACCTTCAGAAGGGCCAGAACCATGGAGGTATAATACATTTATATATTGCTCTTTTTGGTTAAAAATTTATGGCATGATTGTACGCAACACCTAAACAAGACAATAATAATTCACATGTCATGAAGTTCTGAAGAACACGATTAATATTTGGGTATTTTGTGTCCTATCAGTGTGACCACTAACAAGATCATGTGTAATATGGAGTAATAGTAAATAAAAAAGAAGAATATAATAGGTCGAGAAAAATGATCTAGGTTCTTAACCGGTACGTTTAGACGATGGACTCCAAAGTTTCATGAAAGTTAGGCTAATTTTGTTAGGATATATTGCACTGCAAAAAATTATGTAGAGGGACCTAAAAATGACTAGAAGCATCATGTGAGAGAGCTTTCAAATGACACCTTTCACGTGGTGGTTTAACTGGTACTTTGTTCTTTGTTTAGTTTCCTGCATGCATTACATTAATTTTTAACAATTCAGTCTGAAACTCTTTGGTACTTCCTCGTCCATGGTAAAATATTTTATTCTTTCAATTCAAATGAGTCCTTAGTGTAGATCCTAATTCTGTTCAACCAAGATAACCACTCTGATCTTTTGTCTAAGCTCAACAAATATATGAGAGTTATTCCCAATTGGTCCCTAGAGGGAAGAAAAACACCTCTAATTATCTAGTTATTAATCACTTCTAAAAGAGTAGTGAACCAAAAAAACTTTTTCAGAGTTAAATTTGCTGTCATTATTCTATCACATCTCTTGTCTCTGCAACAAATGGTAAATAAATTACTTTGATCTGCTGTGTTTATTTTGCAGTATTGGAGGAATGAAACCGAAGAGTTAAGAAGATCAATACAAAACCTCGAAATGCGGCTGAAGTAGGTCTTCTAGCAACTACAACAATTTTATTCCGTTCATCGTATCGGAGGTTATGTATATATATGGTTGTTCTAAACATATTTTTAAATAATTAACATGGTATTATGAACATCTATATGTAGGCACTTGGCTGGAGAGGAGCTATCAACGCTTGGTATGCAAGAATTAAAGCAATTGGAAAGACAGTTAAAAACTGGGGTTGAACGCATCCGCTCTAAATCGGTATATACTCATAGAAAAATAGTAATACATAACTAATCAGTCACAACTAGTACTATATTTTAGGTTTAGTTTGTAGTACCAAAGTGAACACCTACAGATTTATGCTTAACTGATATGTGATTAAACTAACTCAGAGACAGATCATTTCGGAGAACGTCAACTTGCTGAAAAGAAAGGTAACAACCCTCGTAATTTCCTACTTAATTACGTTGTTTCGATTAATTCAAATGAATTGTTACTTTGGACGTGCGGAAATAGTAGTTCGTGTAATTAAGTTGTATAAAATGCTGCTACAGCATAAAGAATTGCGAGAAGAAAACAAGCGTCTGCAAAAAAGAGTGAGTAAACATTGCCCTAATTTCCTCTATTAATTAGTTTCTAAGTGCTTTGCAAATTGCAATCAAGCATATAGTAATGCATAGTTAATTGGACATTTTCCTTTGGTTAACACATGCTACTTTGTCTTGTGAATTGAGGTTAAGTTGCAGGAGTTTCATTTTGCTGATGTCACCTCGTCGACCTCGACAACTACTTTGGGAGCAAATGCATGCATGAGTGCATTTCCAAGGTATATATATTTGCTAAACTAAGTATTATGTTAATTATGTTGATCACTACTTAAGCTTGCTGTTAATCAATTATATTCTTATTGTGTGAGTGAACTAATTTGAAATTCAGGGTTATGTTCTCGCAGCAACACCAGCTGCTGCCCAATTAATTTGAAAAAGCTGCTTATATATAATTAGTGGCTCCAGCTTTTGCTGTTGTGAGGGACTGCGATCATAGCTTTTGCTGTTGTGTGTTTCTAATTTCTTGTGTACGAACTATATGAAGTTCGTGGAAATTAATGTACATTGTATGATGTTGTGGATCGACGTTATGCATAAGTTTCTATCCATTTAAACGATGATAAAAAGGAATATTTCTTTGCCTACGTACGTACATAATTTTTATCTTCTTATTTCAAAGAAACAAGAACTACAGAAAGAACTCAATACAAATTAGACTGATTAAGATCAACTAAACTAAAACCCACAGAGGAAAAACAGAAAAAGTTCTTATTAAATCACCCAAGAACTTCCACAATCCATTAACGGAGAAGTACTTCTGCACAAAACTCTTGAAGAAGTAATGATTCTCAACATATTGGCTACTGGCTCAAGCATGCCATAACATTAGAGAAGCACGAATTAACTAGGTAAAGTTGCAAACAAAATTCTGTAGAACATAAGAATATATGTATTCAACACAAACGCTTTTTATCAACTAACTCTTAATTTATCAAATTGTTCTTCCAAATGTTGAAATATTCGAATTCGGATTGCCCTCCCGAAGACAAATGAACACTTTTTCAAGTATCAAAGTAATATATTCACTTTTAATACTAGAGTTTAAGCTTGATTCATGAGAAATTTTTCAGTGTGACTGTCACACCGCCACGTGATATTATTAATTTACTTATGTTATAATCCGTATATCTGCCTATCAACATTATACTATGTATCCATGACATAATAGCGTTTGTCGTTGATTCATATGTTAATACATGAGTGGGAATGATAACATTACGTGACGGAAAATTTCTCGTTGTCGTATCCAAGAGTATTCTAATTCCACTTGGTTGGGGCTTACATTGATTGGACCATAATAATTGGGCTTTTGGCATAAAAATTCCCGGGCTTCCGCCCATAATACATACATCATAATCTCCAGCCCACATCCAAATGAAAGCCCCACCCGACTCGCCCACCTCGCTCTCTCCTCCATTTCCAGCTCCCACTCCCAAGCCACCTCTCTCTCTCTCTCTCTCTCTCTCTCTCTCTCTCTGCTCCTCTCCAATGGCAGCAATAGCTCGCGTCTCCAGGAGAGCCTTAACCTCCTTCTCCAGCTCAGCCCAGCCATCCGCCTTCCACCGCACCTTCTCCGCCGAAGCAGCAAAAGCCGCGGCAATAACACCCTCGCCGGATCGGGTCAAGTGGGACTACAGAGGCCAGAGAAGGATAATTCCACTCGGCCAGTGGCTCCCGAAGATCGCCGTCGACGCATACGTGGCACCCAACGTGGTATTGGCGGGTCAGGTCACGGTCTGCGACGGAGCATCCGTTTGGCCCGGGTCGGTCCTCCGCGGGGATCTCAATAAGATCACCGTTGGATTCTGCTCCAATGTTCAGGAACGATGTGTCCTCCACGCCGCTTGGTCTTCACCCACAGGTAGGTTCTTCAATTTTCTAGCTTTTCGATTCTCTATCCCATTTGATTATTTTTTGTTTTTTCTATTATTTTTGTTTGAGATTCTGTCAATTGTTCGATTAAAAGTGTGTTGGTAGCTGAATTTTAGTTTTGGATTGCTGCACTGCCTATAATTGCTGTGTATTTGTTAAGCTGTTGAGGTTAATTAGCGGAGAATTCGAAGAAAAAATTGAAATTTGTAAGCAAATACTGGAATTTCGTAGTACATTTGGGCCTTTCACTAGGTGTAATGTAACTTGCGAGCTATTAGTTTTTCGGGTTCGGTTTGAGAAGGTGGAGAATAGGAAGATGGAAAGAGGTGTACATATTTAAAGGAGGTGAATTTACACTAATTCAGTGAATTTTGAGTGGCTTTTTGGTTCTATTTTCATCTCTTCATTTGGATTTCGAACAGAGTGATTTAACGGATGGAGAATTAGAAACTAGCGGGAGATTTTTTGTGGGAGGGCTTTGGAGAAGGAAAAAAGGCATCGTGTGTAGGGTGGGAAATTGTGTTGTTCATGTACGATGGATCATGATTCGTGGAAGGGTCATAAATTTTACTCCTTTATGATATGGTGGTTGCGATTTCTTTTTAGAAGAAAAAAAGGGGTAATTCCCTTTGCCATAGTGTCATCTCAAGAAAATATAGATTGTATGTCAATAACGGGGTTGCAATATAGTGGTTAGAGCCTTGAGTCAATGTCCTTGTAAAGACACTTCGAAAGGTTGTTATTCATTATTTCCTCCTTTCCCACTCTTCAACTTGTGGGGATTTGAATAAAATTAGACGGGAAGGATATGTGGATCGGAAACTCTTCTTTGTGCGAATTAGCTAATTATTTCCTAATTTGCCAATGCGTATGCTGTCTCTTCTGTGCTGTGCGGTTGAAGCTTTAGTTTTTGTAGAATGTGAATGATTTGGAAGTTAGGCAGCTTTCTTCTTTACCTTCATGGATATAAATTTCTCCTTACTAATAAAAGATTTTGGGAAATTGATTCTGTCTGTCTATTTTCATGCAACCACGGTTGAGTAGTGACTCTTAAGATTTCCTTTCCTAGTTTTAATCCTTATGCCATAATTCGGAAGGAGTACTTTTGAAGGTAAAAAATTTGTGCTTGCATTACTGCTCATAGTAGGAATTGGGATATCATTCAGAGGAAAGGTCACCCTGTTGGTGCATTATGTACGAAAAGGTTGGCAAGAATATTGACCATTTTTTCTTGATTGCAATATTGCTTCGAATGTATGGCACAAGTTGATAAGGGAAACAAAGTTGTTGTGGTGGGTGGTACCAGCTTCATGCATTTCTTTGTTCTTTGAGATTCATTGTGCTTTTGTTGGTGGGAAGAAATCGACTGTCTTGTGGAAGTAGTGTGATGCTATCATCTACGTGGTATGCACATAAATAAATAAAAGGGGTTTTTTAAAAACAAATGTGGGCAGGAGGTAGTGTTCTTTCAGAAGCAGAGTGAAATTGCGCCTGTCATTGGGAGTTTCTGTTCAGATATGGGGCCTATTAGATTATCCTTAGTCCATTCTCCATTTTCTGGATTCGTGGGTAGACAGATATGCTAGGCATGGGTGTCTATCATTATACAATATAGAAACTCTCTTCTTTGTGAGGAACAGCTGGTTCCAATAATTGTTGATGGATAAGATCAGTAGCATTTGTGCACAGTTTTTTATTTCAAGTGATAAATGAGAAAGTTGTAATGTCAACTAGTTGGCGTTTGTATTTAATGTTTTTAAACAGGTGAATGTTTATGGGAATCTGGCCATTTCTGAACTTATATCCATGCTACATCTCCTTGCTTGAAACTTATTGAACTTTAAAGACTTAAACGTCAGGCGTAAATCCTGAGTTGGAATTTCCTTAAGTTCCAACATTTAGCATATAGCCCTAGAGCACCGTATTTCTAAATTCGTTTTTGGCCAAGTTTCCACAGATCTCGACATTGTTCCTGGTCCTACCCAGAGACCAACCTTAATTGCATAATGATCTCATCTATGATCTTCATTGTCGTTGTATAAAGAGCAGATGTTAATATTATCAAATTTGTTTTGAAAATACTTCGGTTGTTTGTCCATCCTGTGAAAGCAATAATGATTCGTTTTTATGCCATTGTTGTTAGTCGATGTTTCTTGACATGCATGTCATGTTCTGTTAGGATATGTTTAAATATGCAAGGAATCTATTGCTATTTGATCTGCTGGGATTTTCTGAGTTTATAGTACGCAACCACTTTCGTTATCTCAGGACTTCCAGCAGAGACATCCATTGAGAGGTTCGTGACTATTGGCGCATACAGTCTGTTGCGGTCCTGCACGATTGAGCCAGAATGCATTATCGGGCAACATTCAATCCTAATGGAAGGTTCCTTGGTGGAGACCCACGCTATTCTTGAAGCTGGATCTGTAGTTCCCCCAGGGAGGAGAATTCCAACTGGTGAACTTTGGGCTGGAAACCCGGCAAGGTTTGTCCGAACTCTGACACATGAAGAGACCTTGGAGATCCCCAAACTCGCGGTGGCGATAAATGATTTAAGCAAAGAATATTTCCAAGAATTCCTCCCTTACTCCACGGTATATTTGGAGGTTGAAAAGTTCAAGAAGTCTTTGGGGATTTCCATTTGATCAGTTTCATCGTCGTGTTTCCTTGTATCGTTTAGTTGGAGGCTTTCCTTGTAAGGAAATAAGCAGCTCCGAGACAGCAGAGCTATCTTTTTCGGGTGTCTACCTTGTATTTCGATCGGATTGTTCTGAAATATCAACCGACAATCGGATGTCTAATAGTAGTTTCCGGCCAGCACTTGTCCGAAAATTCTGATCACTTGTTTCCCCATTTGTTTAAGCTCAATGTGTGGTTGTAGCTGACTTGATGTTATATATAAAAGATTCACCATTGCTGTTCTTTTAAAGTCATATATCCATATCGGCATATCGCGATGGCATCTAAAAAGTTTTTGAGTCGCATTTAATTCAACAATTATCGTCCATGAAATTCTCACTATTCATTTGTATGGTCTGGGATTATAGATTCTTAGGTTTGGTGGAAAATATTCCACCCAGCTGACCACTTCCTCTTCCTTTTCCCTTTTGGTTGGTGTAGCAATCCAGAACACCAACTAAAACTTTTATCTACTTTTCATGGAGAAATCATTTGTTTCACTAAAAGCAATCATTTACTCGAACATTCACTTCTGCGTCTGAGATTCAGTATTCGACTCTCCCTTCCGCAAATGATGTAAAAGACTTCAATTACTCGATCATATCCACAATGCATCCGAGATACTCATCCCACAATGCAGACAATGACTGATCCAAAAATACACTTGGATACTGAATCTTGGAGCTGGTTTAGTACTGAGGTGATTTTATAAAAAGTGGATATAAAAAAAAATGAAAACTGAACTAAAAAAGGTGTTTGGTAAACACTTAAAAACATCTTATTTTCACAGTTTTGGATGAAAAAAAAAAACTGAAAACGTGAAGCAGCAAAAATGAACTTATTCTCACAGCACAGTAGAAATAGTTTTTTTCAAAGCACAACAATATCAAACCAGCCCTAAATCTTTTTATTTACCCTCTTCAATTTTTTTGTGGCCTAAGTGTGAACTTGAAAGGTGGATAACTTTTTCTTTTTGGTTGACAACAGGGCGTAAGCCTAAAAGAAAAGAAAAATTATATAAGAATATCACGAGGTCACGAAACCCTAGCTATATTTGCAACTAGTAACCGACGAGAGGAAGAAGGAGCTTGCTAAAATGATACTGGACATTTTTCTGACTGTTTTTGTTTGTTTGTTTGTTTGTCGGCTGCCGACTGTTTACTAATTTCCATTTTTCTTATTGGTCAGATGCCGGCTATAACTTGTTTTTATGTTTTTGATTTGATTAATGGAAAATGGCTATTTCCGATTCTTCTTAAATTACTGTTATACCTGCAATGTATACTATTGCAATATTCGATTAGTGTGGGGACACGCAATTTTATATTTTACAAGAAAAAGAGAGACTATATTGAATTCCGTTCATTTGTATCAAAAGAAAATAGAGAGATTTTTCGACTAAGTTAAAGAGTTTAATTCTCTTTTATGGTAATCAAAGCTAAAGTAGGATTCTATTCCAAGAGCAGTGTCTAAGGTTAAATAAAGAAAGCTCTTATAAAATCTCTCTCTCGCTCTCTATTGTGAGTAGAAATAGGAGCAATAGTCGGTTTAGATCATCGTGTAACATTACGGGACAAACAATAAAGCTGCAACCGCTTTCTTCTAGAGTGTGGCTCTAAGTAATCCTGAGGTCAAATCTAGTTTCGTTTTCAGTTGGGTTGTTATTTATAGATATATTCATTTTTTCTTCAAAGACATGCACTAAATCATGAAGAAAATGGGACAAGAAATTAGGTCAAGTCATTGACTGTTTTGGCTTAATGGGTTGGCGAATATGCAAACGTAGTTTTTGTGTCTTTTGTGAGATAATGAACACGCCATTGCCATGCATCATCAGACGGCCTCTGCACTTAAAAAGTCTACTAAACATAATTAATTCCAACTTGGATTTTAAGCCTATATTTAAGTTGTGTGGATTTCGACTTGTATTTGATTTGGCGGATGCTAGCAATCTTTTCATTCAGACATTTAATTTCTTAGTTTTTTCTACATCATACAATGTTGCTTGATGAACGAAAAGTTTAGGTTACATTTAAAGATCAATTCTGAAGAAGAAATCAACCAAACTAGAAATCATTTGATTAACGTTATCAAAATTTTAGCATTCAAGTAAGAAACATGATTCGCCTATTTATTGGATATAGTTAATTTATTGTAATAATGATTTTGAAGGGATGACAATAGACAGTTTGAACCATCGGTGCAACATGCAAATTGAGAAGGATAGCCGAAAAGATTAAATAAACCAAATGAAAGCATTCCCTCTAAATTCTTCAAGCGTTACAATTTGCAGTTGCACCCCTAAAAAACATGATTGGTTAGGTGAAGAGTTCAATTATCTTCCATTTATAAACCTATTTAATGTATACATTTTAAAGTCGTAGTTATGAGAATCTAAGAACTTTTCAAAGCACCAACCACAAATGAGACCTTCACTAGAACACATCTAACTCGGACGGCAATGATTTCATACAATATTGTTGGCTGTTTAATTTCATGGTTTGCCTGTTCAACCTCACTGTTTTTCGTTGATAATACTATAATTTGAATTCGTTCATTAGAGTTTTAAACAGAGCCGGTTTTGAGGGTGTGCAAGTGACGCTACTACACAGGACTCTTCGATCGGGAGGCTCACCATTTACGATTTTATTTTACATGTACATAAAGTATATATATCTAAAGGTGCACTCAACAGTTTTATACTTCTATTTGTTTGCAACCCATCTCTATAAATTCCATTCTTTCCCTCATCACATTTGCAACTTCAATGGCTTCTCCACATCCATCACCTCTCTTTCGCTCTGCATCATCGACTTCCTCGCGGTGGATGTGTCACGGCGGAGACCAAGGCGATCGATATGGGTCACGGCGAAAACCAAATAAAGAAGGAAGTATTTGAGAGAGTGATATGATCCATGGAGGTGGAAGTGAAGACTCGTGCCTTTGGGGTTTTGTGTTCTTGTTTTGCTGGAAAATGTGGGATGTTGGAATGGCTCAATCAAATAAAATCTCCCAAAGGATTGGGTCTTTTAATTTGATTGAGCCGTGCCAATATCACAATTGCATTTTAACTTTATCGCATTTTTTTTAAAGTAAGCAAATATATACAAATAGAATAGAACCAGTTATAAACAAAACAAAGTAGAATTAGAAGCTGTACTATGGCGTACATGAAAGACGTACAAAGACTTGGAAAGAGACTTTAAGAAAAAATATGGAGTATTTAGAGCTAATGGAAGACTTGGTGCAAAACTGAGCGTAGTGGCGTTCTAAGATTCATACAACCCACCCTACTTAGTGGGATAAGGCTTTATTGTTTTTTGTTGTTGTCGTACACACACAAGTTGATGCCCTTCTATTGTATGTTTAGTGTCGGGTTTATTGGATGTTTAGTGTCGTTTGAGAAATATTTTTGATTAAAAGTTTATAACCGATTCTGTTTTTGCAGCTTTCCTTGTTTCAAATTAGTATACATACACACACATACACACATACATAGTACAACATATACGTATACATAATCATAACTGAGAGAAATCTTGTTTTTATCAGAAATACACCAAACATGATCAACGCACCTTCCCATTCATGCTTTTCTGTATTTTCTTGAAAAATAATCTCGCACATAATATAAATGCCAGGATCATCAACCGTTTATAAATCCTTTTGTATATCGCATGAAAGCGTGCTATGCAAAAAAGAAAACACCCAACTGCAAATTAAATTACGGCCATACAGGCCGATCATCGATCACGGACTGTAAAACCGAAATGTATAAACAGTTACTGTACTAAAACAAAAGAGATTCAAGGGAAGAGAGCAGCAGGCAACATCTAATGCTCCAATGGTGCTGGTGCTGGTGCTGGAGTATATGACAGCACAAGATAAATGGTGCAGTAGACATGCAGAGTGCAACGAGCATCACTATCTTTCTGAGCTTCCCCGGTCAACCTCAAAGAGCCACGTGCAATTTCTCCCCCGCAAAATATTCCTGCCAACGGAACCCTGGAGAAGTTCTCCACAAAGGGAGAGCCATCAACATTGGCGCGTCCAAAGAATGGCTCACCACGGCCACAACAAGCGAACAGAAAACCCCCAAATACTTCGCTCATGTGACAGCGATGTTTTTGAGTTTCATTGACCTTCAATTTTTTCAGGCTTGAAGAGATGTTGTTACATGAAGCTAATGCAGTTTCGGGGTCTGAACGATAGAAGTTGAAGTAATCACCAGTTTTTATGCCAACGCCACTGACATAAAGGTACTGATCATCTCCTCTGCAGAATAGCATCATGTTAATAGTTAAATCAAAAATCATAAATGATTTATCAAATCATCAAACATACTTCAATCAACTATCCATGCGGAAATGTGCAGGAAATACATTTTCATCCCAAGATGAAAAAAAGTTATAAAAGGATATTAAGAAGTATATTTCCGATCAATTAGTTCAATTCATCCATTGAGATCTATTACTAGTTTCCTAGAAATCAATCACTTTACCACCACCAGGAATTTATAGTCATTGCCCACAATAGTATTTCTACGTTTAGGTTAGACGTAGAGGCTTTTATGAATTCCATGTCTGAATGGTTCAGATGGAGCATAATAAGAAAAAAGCATGTGTGTGTGTGTGTATAAGAACAATTCTGAAGCCCATTAAACGATGGTCATTACTGAAAATAGTTGTGGCATTATACATGTTATTGCCAGTGACCCGAGACCACACGAGAACACAGATTGGTCTCAGCAAAGGCAGATGCACATGGGATATATAATATATGAAGAATAAGATTGTAGTACCGCCTCCAAATTAAGGTCTTTTACTTTACATTCTTAAATTGGTTTTCCAGCTATGATCCTGTACTCACCACAATTTGATAGTGGAAAACAAACAGTAACAACAGTGAAGTGGCAGAAGGAGCGAGGAGTTTGACAGGGATGAGCAGACGAACCATAAATCGAAGTGTAGGACGCAGAGAAGGATGTTCTTGTTTTAAAGAATTTCATATTTCTTCATTACAGGAACATATGCAGCAACAATTAGACAATACTAGCCAATTAAAAAAGTAGTCCTGAGTGTTACCCTACAACTCCATGGTATTCCAAGGACGTGATCCACCTTGGCTTCTCTGACCCAATAGAGATTTTTCTATGTTTCGTAACCCCAATGTACAGATCTGAAGAATCTACGTGATTTGCTAACTGTCAAATATTATTTTGAAAAACAAACACAAGCACTTGTAAGAAGCATGATAGTTCTAAAATAATCAGATTTCTTAAACAGAACTCACTTGTAATATATCTAATTCACTAGACTAACGTAAAACAACGCTTCAAGTCAACTGGCACTTTCAGCAGACTTTTGAAATGCACCACATGGAAAATTTAACTGTAAGTTTTACCTCATCGTTGATATCATCGAGAATTTGTTGACCGTCCAGAATTTCTGGGTGTCCCTCTCTTCTAGCAGTAAGCCAAGTAGAACGCTCACAGTTATTCACTTTGACAGAAACAGCCTTGTGCTGGGAACCGACTGTGGACACTCCATTTGATAATGCAATTTGGAATTGAATGTCTCCAATACCTTTTCATTTATACAAAACCGAATAAGTGCCTAACAAAACACATTGGGTAGTTTGACATGATAACTTTACAGAACAAGAAAGCCACCATAGATATGTTGTTAGAGCAAGAAGGAAGCAAATAAGTTACAAGGAAAAAACAGAAGCAAATGTGTATGAAACCTTACGAGTGCATAATGAGGCATATGATATATCTGAAAGTGCACTCATAAAATAAGAAAAAATTTGGAAAAAGCTATGCATGAAAGAGAGATGAAAAATCTTCACTTGTGAAAATTAAAGATCAGCATGCATCTCTCAAATATGAGAACCCTTAAAAGTTATTCAATTTTGATAAAACATGGTTCCAAAATTTGGAGATATACTGTAATTGAAAGTTTGAAACTGAAAGAAATTTTATAAAGCATGAAAGCATTAAACATGTTTACCTAGGAAAAAAACATTAAACACGAAAAGGACTAGTTCACAAATGAATACATCTTGATGTGTTTCAAATCTTCTAGGGAGATTGCAAAATAGACTGCATCTGAAGTGGCTCTGATATTGGAAGGCCCTATCGAGAAGTGATATGTGCCTTTTATTTCTTTCTTTACTTTGTATCTGACACTTCTGAAGGCATGCAAGTAGCTATTTGAACAGAAACCTATGCTGGAAACAAGGGAAAAACGATGCTGTATAAATGAATAAACCAAATACTTACCATGTGGCTTGTCTTTATCCTTGGCAAATATAAGAGCAACAGCATCGGTAAAGTATTTTGCATTCCCACAGACATTTCTAGACTCATTCTCACTTCTATATAAAATGCGACATCTCTCATCACCCACAATGACAGTTTCCGCAGGCATAGCATAATCTGCAACAAATTGAGACATTGAGATATAATCAACAAAAATTGAGTCCCAGCATGAGCATGCAACATAAAAGTTTATCACAACACATAGACCTAGTTTGGGAGTGAGGTGCTTAAAAAAAAAGCACCCATGAAAAAAAGCTGTGAGGGTTTTAGGTGTTTGGTAAACTGAAAAAAAAATGGCTTATTTTGGAAACTGCTGTGAGAATAAGCTGAAATCAAAGGAAAAAGCTGAAGCTGCTATTTGCAGCTTTGGAAAACTGGCTTTTTTTCAAAGCACACGAAGCTACAGTGCTTCTTTAATGAAAAGACCCACTATTAGACTGCTTTTTTTTTTTTCCAAAAGCACTTTTACAAAAAAGTTTACCAAACACTCTGCTGATTTATTTCACAGCCGCTTATTCTCACAACACAGCCGCTTATTCTCACAGCAGCTTTTTTTCAAAGCACAGCAATACCAAACCAGCCCATAATCTGAAAGCAGCAGCTTATCTCCCTAATGTTTCGAGCGGTAAATAAATGATTCTTGTTTTTATTTATTATGTCCTCAGGACTCACTACTCACCCAATGCATCAACAATCGGTTTCATGTCACGAAGCCCATCCTGTACCATTAATCATTTACATGTTAGCAATGCGGCAAAGGGAAGCTACATCTGATTGAAAGAAAGAAAGAAGGAGTGAAATAAAGAGGCAATAAAGTATGAGGACAGCCACTCACTCCAAACATCATAATTCCAACCGGGGACGTGCAATCTGAAACAGAGGCTGTGTAATCCTTAATATCCATGATGAATTTATCAAGCAAGACTTCTCGAGGATCCTGATATCATTAGAAACTATTTATGTATCAAGAAAATCCATTATTCAAACTGCAGAAAGAGCTTGAAAGATTCTACAAATTCCCAAAAACGACAATAAAAACCAAAGACTGTGTGCCCTAAGTTTCCCTCATTTGAAATTCCGCTGTGGAATTCTTAAAGAAATCAGATTTGTAGTTATACTGTAAAATTTGGCACCTTTATTGTTCGTAACAGCGGGATGGCATCAACTTTCAATCCTGGCACAAAGCCAACAGTCAAAAGGATGCCGTAGTTCGCATCCTTTGTTGGTATAGAGCAATCTTCATCACGTCCATCACCACAAACCTCTCCCCACTTAACCTAAACAATCACATTTCATCTGAAATCAGTAAAGACATAAACTTGCTGCAAACTAATGAACAAAAACCCGGCAAACCCGAAAAACACAACCACGAAACCTCTTTGAATTCATGGGTAAGAGCATCTCTTCCAAATATTCCACTTGAAGTAGAAATGATGAATGGAATACTGGACCCCAATTTTTTCGATATCTGCAATTTCAAACATAGAACAAAATAAAAATCCATAATTTGCTTCTCTTAATTCAAATGTATCCAATCATATACTAATTAGGATTAAGGGGTTTATAAGAGCAGCTTGGAAATGTCATACAATCCAAACCCACTTCCAATATTAGCTACAACAAAATGAGGCCGTATAGGCTCAGCTAGAACCTTCTCGATAACCTCCTTCACTGCAACCTATCAATTGCAACACAAAAATTGAGAAAATGTGCGACAAAATTTGAGCTTGTTAT